ATTTGTACGCCTCTAGGAACTTTAGCATACCACATTGGTCCTGTCCATCTAAAGTGCCTCCCTGCTACTAGTTCTCCTCTTTATCTTTCTCCTGAGGTATGGTTCAAGTAATCTATATTCGACAATCACGTGATCAAAAATTGGGCATTATTAAAAGCCTAAAACTTTTTATTCTGGGGCTATTTTAAAAAACTGACCGGTAATTATGTTCTTTATGACAAGCTCTACAAAGTTACCGGTCAGATTTTTAAAATAACCCCTATATAAAAAGTTTTAGGATTTTAAATTCCATATATTTTGAGAAATTGAAACGAATGCGAGTAACATCTGATTGGTTGGAAATGGTAGATCATATGATCCGGATTTGTACCATAATTCTGAGCCATTTTTCAGCATGTTTCTCAGCACGGTATTGCTGCATATTTTTCATAATCCAGCATATATTCTTTAGCATGATTCTTTCGCACATGTAGCATAGAATTTCTATTCCCTTTCCATTCTCGAGTTCGCTAGCAGGTTCCGAGTTTGGTTTTTCCTTGATGTCGATTTCCTTGTGGTTCTCGTTAGGTAGCATTGTTAGTCCTCCTTTTGGTGCACTCTCGTCTTGTCTCTTTGTCGGTGTGGTCTTATCTCGTCCCTTCGTTGGTTCTGTGTTTGTCTTGTACGGCCCACGCTCCATATGCTCTTCGACCCGGTTTGCTTCTCCAATCGCCTCGTCCAACGTGATGTCTCTCTTGATGGCAAGCGCTGATGCAATCTTCTTTCTCAACCCTCTTACGAACGCTCTCACTTCATCCCTTCCAGGTTCGCCATCGTCGGGGTCGACTCTTCTCAGCAGGTCCCGAAAATTACGAGCATATGATGCCACTTTCTCATCCTCGCCTTGCTTCAGTTTCGCAAGCTCTGACAGCCACTGCCGTCGCTGCTCAAGCGTTGCAAAGCATCGGAGAAATGCTGGCACAAAACTTCTCTTGCGCTCGCTTCTAATATTCCAATAGCAGAAGCGATCTTGGCAGGCTTCGTACCAGTCCGCCACGCGTCCCTTCAGGTAATCCGTTACACATCTTAGTTTTTGTGCATTCGTCCAACCGTTGGTTTTTGCTACCCTTTCGTATAACTCTAATCACGTATATGGATCTTCACCCCTTTTACCCTTAAATTTAGGTATATTGGTCTGTCGAGTCTCTTCATTTCTCTCCAGGCTGGTGAGAGCTTCCGCTAGTTCCTGTAAGATTTCAATTGCGTCGTCCAGCATTATTAATTGAGTAACACGGGTTTATCACGGGTTCGTCAGGAAAGGTAAATGTGTTTTTAAGGTTTGTCGACACGATCAACGTTTTTACTAATATGGCTATCCGTCCAGCCCGCACTACTGGTCGTCGCTTCGGTTCCCAATACAATAAGGTAAGTTTCTCTAACTCTTGAGGCATGTTTTCGATTTGGCCGGTCTTCTTACGTTAACTTCTCTACCGACTAGCCTAGAACCCTTCCAATGTCAATTCCCTTAAGCAAGACCTTGGTTCTCTCTTGTAGTCGCGTAGCCCAAGTTACAAGTCTACTTTGGCACACTAAACACAAGGTAAGAGTTTATTTACAAACGTTACTTTATTGTTTATTACTTAATGCGTTGCTCTAGACTAAACTTCTCCACTCTCTTACATGCTACTGAATGGCGCATGTATTTATACATGCGCTTGTTATTTACATGTTTACATCTGATCGCTATTCTACATTACTCTAGAAATTCCATCACTAAACTTCCCCACACCTATTTTCCCACCTTAATTTCCCCATGGATCACGACAACAGGATGGCGTAACGTGATATCGCGTTACATGCTTGTGCCAATTTTGCCCATAACAATAGTGTAATATGGATTTAAATTAGCATTTCCTTAATCAATCAATAAAGCCTCTAACAAAATGTATATAAAGAATGGCTCTTGTGCCATCAAGAGAAGAATAGAATAAAATTGCGTACAGTTTTTCTCTAATAATTAAATATTTGTAAAACCCTTTATCGGCACAGGAATTAGATTCTAACAAGCATAATTAGTCTCATTACTCTCTCCCAACCCTTGTCGTAGATAATTTCCCAAATCCACCCACATACGCTCTACCTGTGACAGTATAGCTCTTGCCCGACTTATAAAGCATGCTCGATCCAAAGGAATGATTGGTAATGGAAACATGACAAAATGGGCCGAGTCGCGTAGATTTTGCCCAAACATTAATTTGTATATAAACATATGAAGCATGTTTTGATTATTAATTTGAAATGGCGCGTCTTACAAAGAGACAAAAACAAGTAAATAGTTTACCTAGAAAACGAGGTTGCTTTGTGCCTCAAAAGGAAATACAAGAAGTCACTGAAATGCAGGAGGAATTCATATCAAGAGCACACGAGATAGGTGAGGTCGTGAATATGAAAAAAAGGGTATATACTAAAACTTCAAGGACAACAATCTGGAGACAGAATAAAAAAAGGAAAGATCAGGAAAAAGATGCGAAGGAAAAGAAAAAGGATATATTACTTGATGCTAAAACATCAAGTGATGATGAAACATTGACTACTATGTCATTACCATCACCGTTATCCCAAGCAATCATACAAAATCCGACATCAATGTTATCATTATCACAGCCAGCCCAAGTGATCACACAGAGCCCGACATCACATATCGATACCTCGAGCCTATATAGACGTTTAGAAGAAGTTAGCAGACAATGTGCAATAACAAAATCTTCGAAAGCTAGTGTACCTACCTATGATTATTTACGCCTTTTAAGTATAAGTAAATTCATACGATTGTTATTGAATGGAAAGGGTAAAATGGATGCTAGCAAGCAGATCGCGCAAGCCGTGTGGAATAAAGGTGAATATATGGCGAGATGTATTCGAAAATGGGGAGACCATTATTTACAAACGGGAGAGCTTCTTACCGATCAGCAGGGAAAGCATAAGAAACTAACGGCTTTGTCTGATGATAATGATTTCTCTATAAGCTGTCAATTGTGGTTACAACAGCAAAAACCGGAATCGCATTCACCTGGAGCCCTTAAAATATATATTGAAAAAACATTATTTCCGATGTTAGAGCATTTTAAAAAGGATACCATTTCTGAATCAACTTGCCAAAACTATATGCAAATGTGGGGGTATAAGTATGATGAAAGACGAAAAGGCATTTACTATGATGGGCATGAACGATCAGATGTGGTGATGTACAGAAAAGAATGACTAAGGAGAATGTTTACTTACAAGAGACACATGAAGGATTTTGATGGCAATATTGTAATAGAACCTGAGTTCAGGCTGGAATTTGTACAAGTGACACATGATGAATGTCATTTTTATGTAAATGATGGGCAACGAAGAATATGGACTTTAGAGGATGAGGATATATTGCGCTCAAAGCATATAGGCCGATCCATTATGGTTTCAGCTTTCGTTTGTCCATGTCATGGACTATTACGATTATCTGATGATCAATTACAGACAAATTCACACATCAAACATAAGGAGACTTACATCCTTCATTCTACACAAACCGACGGATATTGGAAGTCGGAACATATGCTGGACCAAGTATGTGTTTTTTTTTTTTATTGTTTTTTTGTCAGTCAACTGTTTTTAATAACCCAATAATCTGACAATTATAAACTTAGCTTGTATATAGGGCTCTTCCGATATTTGAGGTATTGCATCCTGGATGTATTGGTGTTTTTTGCTTTGACCAGTCAACAAATCATAATGCATGGGCTGAGAATGCATTAATCGCAACAAGGATGAATTTGGGTCCTGGAGGAATACAGCCTAAAATGCGTGATGGCTGGTACATAGATGAAAATAATAAAAGGCAAATACAATCAATGGTATTTCCGGACAACCATCCTGAAGAAAAGCTAAGGGGACATTCAAAGGGTATAAGACAAGTATTAAAAGACCGTAAACTTTGGCCAACAGGAGGAATTCGTTTGATATGTGACCAGTGTTCTAGAAATAATGAATCGAAAAGATTAGATTGTTATGCATGACGGATTATGTTATTACAACCTGATTTTCACGAACAACAATCAATGTTGGAGGAAGCAGTCATTAAGGCTGGGCATATATTGTATTTGAGCGATATCCAAAATTCCATTGTGAATGTAATTTTATAGAACGATATTGGGGTTATGTGAAGCGAGAGACAAGACGAACCTGTAGCTATAATTATAAAGATTTGCTAGAACAGGTTCCAAATATTCTTGTTGATGTTCCTATAATCACTATTCGTAATTTTGCACGCAAATCGTAGAGATATATGGATGCCTATAACAAAGGATTGGAGGGTAGAGCCGCTGAATAGGCAATTAAAAAATACAAGTCACATCGTCGTTTGCCAGAAAAAATTGAGAAGGAAATGGAATAATAAATTAGAAACAAAATATATTTTTATTTTTAAATAATGATTAGCTTTTTTTAATTCTTCTTAAGTTTATTCAATTTATAAAATTTAAATATTAAATATTATGCACCATATATCTCACCATACTTCCTTCCGTTTTGATAAGAATGTGTGACTTTATCATTACTGTATCAGATTATCATATTACAATGCTATTGGTCAATCATAAAACACGTGATAAATGATCGTCATACAGAAAATTGAAACATTTTACATGATTGTCGATTATAGATTACTTAAACCATAGAAACGATATATGACAGTATATTACAAGGTATACATTTAGAAAGAAACAACATCTCTCACGTGCGATTGGCAGTGAGTTTAATGCTAGCCTGCCTACAGTAATCACTTAACTTCTACTAGAAAAGACATTTTAAAACTAGTATACTAATCAAATAATTCCGAGCTGCTATGTATACCTACTCAGAATTATTAAAAAGAAAAATAAAATTAACTAAAACTAAAACAAAATTGAATAAACTGTAAGATCTATGAGAAAAAAAATTATATTTTCAAGAGAACCTCTGGCCAGACCCATTGTCCTGTCTTTCTGGTTCCTTTCGACTTGTAGATATAATCTTTGTTGACATGAATGATAAAGTATATATAATTTGGTTTATTGTTATAGTTGCTGTTATTGTTGTGTTAGTGTGATTAGTAATTGGTAAGATGATTGTCTGTGAGTTGGTGGTATGATCTTGTTTTGATTGTGGTTGCCAAAATTGGTTTTGTTTATGTTGATCATTGTGTGATGTTTTGATTGTACGAATTTGTTTGGATAATTGGTAATATTTGATTGGTTGGTTTTGAGATAATGATCAGTTAACAGGAGTAAACTAATTACGGTTTTTTGGTAGGAAATTTTTTGTGTGGAAGTTTTTTGGTTTTTGTGGCACAGCATATTGTGTTGAGCGATAGTAAAAAGTGGATATTGTGTATACTGCTAGTGCTCCAAACCAATAATACAAACAATAGTAATATAAGGTTTGATATTTTGAAGAATAGCTCTCCAAGAACAAAAAATGGTTATTTAATAAGAATTGTTTTTTAATAAGAAGTGTAAATGGGAGAAACTCCAAGGAAAATTTGTAAAGAAGTAACTGCCATGGGCCTTTCCTCATACAATCCAAGAAAATAGCAAGGTCCTCAAACTTGCTTTTCCCTGGCCAGAGGTTTCATCCCAATGCACCAGAATATTTTTTTAGATTCCTTGAGGTTCCTATAGTGAAGGTAATAGAAGTATGAAAGACTTTTGGGTGGTTAAAGTCGAAGATTAAAAAAACTATTTCTTTAATTTTGAAAAAAATTACTATAAAAGGAAATTTTTGAGAAAAATGTTATGTATGGGAAAGAGTTTTTTTAATATTTATCAGTTTTATTAATTTTATCAATATTTTATATCTATTTTTTCTTTTAGTTTGAATTTAGACATATAGTTGCATCATTTAAAATTTTTTTGCCAATATATTTGCTTGCAAGTAAGACCAATTACATGTAAAAATATTGTCGATATTTATTTTGCAATCATTAATATTTATAAAAAAATATATAGAAACATGAAACAGATTTTTGAAAGTTATAAAGCTGCCAAAAACCATCAATCTCTTGCTGCAAAGGGTAAGTAAATGGGAAAACAAAATTGACTAACTACCTATATTCTGTATCAAAAATTGCTATGTACCTCCAGTGGAAAACCCTGAACTAATATAGGCAAATTAATTTTGTTACAAAAATTTGCTTGTGGATATTGATTAACATTGATGTTGCTTTTAGTGGGAAACCCTAAACTAGCAACCTATGTTTTGTCGACTTATAGCCAGGAATATTGCAGCAATATATGCCATGTGCCTCCATTGGGAAACCCTGAACTAGTGCAAGCAAATTATGCAGTCGAAATGCTATTTACAGCTGTCGATGTTTCGATATTGCCTCCAGTGGAAATCTTGAACCAGCAACCAAAATTTTTGTTGATTGGCATGTTTACATGCATGTTTTCTGTGCTTTAACTGTATAAGTCTAGCTGCTGCAAGCAGTACAGTTGACAAGCAAGTATCGATATATATCAAGCTGTCGATTATTTATATTTTATATGGCAAGATACTATATATATATATTAAATTGGTTTTTTTCTATTTATTTTTAGAAATCTTTGCCACTGCCTTACATTTTTTTGTGTCATAAAAAAACAATGACCAAATAAAATACACTTCTTTTTAAATGATCCTATCCACAACTTGTTGAGTGTTTGTTTGGCCATTTCTAACCCTACTATTGATTCTTACCAGAATATAAATATATTAAAAGTATTTGTATATATTTTTAAATTTATTAATGATGAAATAAAAAATAGAAAAGTTAGTGGTGTCATATATCGTTTTTACCTTAGGAGAAAAATAAAGATGGAGAACTAGTAGCAAGAAGGCACTTTATATGGACAGGACCAATGTGGTATGCTAAAGTTTCTAAAGGCATACAAATTAATACAGTTCTGAGGTGTATGAGATCAGGCGAAAGAGGCAATGGTAATTTGTTTTGTAAAGGTCAAGTTATTTATTTGATAAAAATATATGTTCAAGCCTGCCAATTCCTAGGCAAAATTGGAGCCTTTATATACATATTTGAGTTATATTATT